GATCAGCCCCCCGCCACCGCCCCGCTCCACCCCGCGGCACCCGGGACAGGGCGAGGGGCTCCCTCCGGAGCGAAAAAGCCCTTTTCTCCCACCTGGCCGCCCTGTGCAGCTCGTCCCCGGCTTGCGGCCACCTCCAGCCTGTAAATCATTTGCTTTTACGATCCTTCCTCTGGCCCATTATCACACGAACTTTATATGTTTGGGGCTGCTGGCGGCCATAGAGCTCGCCCGGTTTCCGGGGCTGGCATGCCTGCCTCGCAGGCAGGGTGTGAGGAGGAGGAGGAGGCTGGGGACACGCTGCCCCGGTACCCCCCAGACGGCAGGTAGGAGGGGAGGGGTGCAGCGGTGTCTCGGAGATGGTCGGACCAGTGGGAGCTGGGATATGGACTGGTTGCAGCCCCAGCATCAGGCGGGAGCAGGGAGGGCTGTGAGTAAATGGGGGGCACCGGGGTCCACCAGGGTGGGGTGGGCAGAAGCGGAGTCCTGACTTCAGTCATTCAGTCCCTCTTCCCCCCATTCTGCTGGACTGGGGGACCCACAGATCTTTTGGCTCACATCCCCTTGGGTCCCAGAGGGACCTTTGCCTCCCCTCAGCCATCGTCTGGGTTCATGTCTAATCCCTGTGCCTGGGGATCATAGGTGGAAGAGTGTTTGGGCTCCGGTTCAGTGCTGGGGGTCCTCTCAGGGCCTGTCCTACCCAGGATGCTGTGTCCAAGCCCTGGACCCAGAGCACAAGTGTCCGAGTTGCAATACACTGCATGGCCCCATTGCCAGCTCCTCTCTGCCTGCTGTCTCCGAGACTCTGTTCCTCCTTGCAGTGTCCCCTGTGCATGTCCTCCTGCCTAGGCATGGCTCATGGGTCTCCTTGTGTCACCTGAGCTCCAGGTCTTGCATAGAGGATTGGGTGAAGCCGTATTGGGTCAGCCCTTTGGCTCCCAGTTCCACTGCCTCCATCGCAGTGGGACCCTCTGCCGCCTCGGTCTTCTCTCTTTGGGTCACACCTTGGTTCAAGCCCCACAGGGGAACCCCACAGGATTCTTGCTGCCCTAGTACTGCCCAATTGCAGCGCACAGGTTGGAGGGGATGGACACCCAGCTCCTCCTCAGCTGTAAATCAGCATTGTCCCTTGAATGATCCCACCGCAAGATGGGATCTGGGTCGCAAGGGACATGGGATCCCACTGAGGATGTTCTCTGCATGGTCCTAGCTGCAGGCTGAGATGTGTCATATCTTCAGGGGTCCAGGGGGCTTCAGGTCTGCGCTTCAGTGAGACCCTTCCAGGTGAGGAGCTCAGTGGCAGCAGGTAACAGCTCACAAGAGGGTGTTTTGCTTCTGTGGCCCATTCTCATCCTGGCAGTGTGCTCACAAAACCTTCCCTGGGTCAGCCATTGCCCTCCTAATTCACCTTGATATTTCTGTTAAAAAAATTGGTATCCAAATCTGTTGTGGGTGTCCTGCAACTCATTCACTGTCGGCGTCTCCCTTGGACGGGGCGAGCATCTCACTTGAGATTGCACGGAGCGGGAGGCAGGTGGACTCCAGGCACAGGAAAAACCCAAATCTAAGCAGATCAGTTGCCTTTTCTTTCCGGGGAGGGGGATGGGAGAGACCAGATCTTGCTTGAACAGTCAAAGTAAGTTGCCTTTGCTTTTCCCTGCTCTTCAAGGTCAGCCTAGCTAATGAAAATCAATCTTCCCTCTGCCTCTCTCTGCTGTATGAGCAGATTCTACCTGTGGCCCCTCACCTACTTGAAAGCCTCCACCGCCGCCGGCCGCCTGGCCTGCTGACCATGTGCAACGCCAGTGGGGAGCTTCCTATTGAAACAGAGTCTTCCTGTGGGCCTGGGCACCGTGACAATATCTGTGTTACTGAGGGATCACTCATTTGATCTGCCAGAGGAGAATGGCTTTGTCCGGGGAAGTTGGCTGTGCACGGAAAGCACATATCTGATATTGAAATCTGGGCTGGAAGTGCTGGGGGAAAGCTTTTCGCTGGGGTCTGGCGTGCCATGAATGGCTTCCATCCTCTGTGCGCTCCTGGGCAGCTCCCTTTTGCAGGCAGCAGAAGCGGGAAGCTTCTTTCTCTCTCCCTCCTGAGGGCCAAGACCAGACTCTGTTGCAGACCCGCTCCTGCCTGGCCCCTCTCCTCACCCATCCCCAGCCCCCCAGAGGTTTCACCCAGACACCAGCGACAAGGTCTGGCAGCCCGAGGTTTTGGCAGACCTGCTGGGGGGGGTAGCTGTGGGACACAGGGGGTCCTCCCTACCCCAGCTCACAGCCCTCGAATGGTCATGACCTTCCCTCTGGATAAAGCAGGCGCCGCTGCCAGTGCTGCAGGCTCGGGAAGTGCCATTTCCTGAAAACAACAGCAAACAGCATGGCAACCTCGTGTGAGGAGCAAGACGGGGCTTGCCTGCTGCAAAGTCTGCTTTCCCTGCTTCACTGGGTGTTTGTGCAGGGGTGAGGGAGAAACCTGCCCTTCTCAGTGGCCATGACGGGGATATATATTGGTTCTTGGGCTGTCACTGGGTTGTGTGTGGGAAGACGAGATCCTGCAGTGGGAACTGCCAGGACTTGGGGAGTCTGTGGGCTTGGCTTGTCCCTGGCCAAGTGCGTTAGTTGCAATTTATTGCTGATGCTGCCAGAAATTGAACATGTTCAGATCCCCTCCATCCTCATGTCACTGGTGTGTACAGGGTATGGCACTGGGAGGCTGCTCGAGGTGTGCTGGGAAGCCCCAAATCTGAGTCTCCTACTCTGGAGGAGATGCCATTCCCAGTTCTGTTGCTGGCTCTGGATAAATCACAGCTTCACATTTTCCCTCCTCTAGAGAGGGCCAGCACTTTCCCCTGAGGAAGGAGAGGAAGGACAGATGGGGTCTCTCAGTGCTGGCAATGGGTGGGAAATCGTCTGGAAGGACACAAAAAGCTCAAAAGCACGGGCAGATGCTGTGCCCACCTGTTTGAAGGGACAGTTCTTACATCCCATGCCTTTTGGACATGTCCTGCCTAAGTCTCTCCAGGCACAGAAGTACTTTGAGTCTGTTTATTGGAAATAACTTCATTAGGAGTTCTCCAGCCAACCTTTGCTTCCTGGTTTGTTTGGACGGATCCATTTTAAAATGTAACACAAATGTTTTCTCTGTCTTCCTGCCCCATCCTTTAGGAGTTTTAGATGTGCCCTGATGCTGCAGGGTCTCCTCACTCCTGGAAATGCAGCTCTCTTCCAGTGTGGCTGAACTCAGTTGTGACGAGACGATGGACCCACCCGCTGAGGACTTCCAGCAGGTCCTGTCCATTGACCAAATCCGCTCCATCCGTGCCAGCAACAACTACGTGGAGAGACCGGCTGTCTGCTTCCAGCAAACCCGCTCCAACCCATCCCTGTCCCAGCCACCACACAAGCAAGAGTGGTCCCAGGACCGTCTGGTGTCTTCCACCTTCCAGGACCTGCACCGCAGCCACAGCCAACAGCATCAGATGCCACCTCTGCAGCAACACATGAGCCATTCCAGCACAGCCAGCTCCGTCTCCCAAAGCACCACTGCCTCCGACCAGCGCCTCCTGAGCAGCCTCACGCCCTCCCACTCTGGGCACTCCCTCATCCGGACGCAGCCCCGGGCTGTCGAGCTGAAACCAGAGGAGTCCCCGTTGAAGGGGGTGGCGGAGAAGCCCACCCTGCACACTGGCCACCTCTTCATCTGCGAGGAGTGCGGGCGATGCAAGTGTGCCCGCTGCACGGCGGCCCGCAGCCTGCCCTCCTGCTGGCTCTGCAACCAGCGCTGCCTCTGCTCCCCTGAGAGCCTCCTCGACTACGGGACTTGCCTCTGCTGTGTCAAGGGGCTCTTCTACCACTGCTCCACCGACGATGAGGACACCTGCGCTGACGACCCCTGCTCCTGTGGGCCGGGGTCCTGCTGTGCCCGCTGGGCTGCCATGAGCTTCCTCTCTCTTCTCATGCCCTGCCTCTGCTGCTACTTTCCTACCCTGGGGTGCCTCAAACTTTGCCAGCGGGGTTATGATGGCTTGAAACGACCTGGCTGCCGCTGCCAGAGCCACACCAATACAGTCTGCAGAAAGATCTCCTCCTCCAGTGGCACGCCTTTCCCCAAGACGCTAGATAAGCCGGTATGACCCTCCCGGGGAGGAGAAGCAGGCTTTACTCCTCTTCTTATTCCTCCTCCTCCTCCTCCTTCTCCTCCTCCTCTTCATCCTCCTCCTCCTCCTCCTTGTCCTCACCCTCCTCCTTGTCCTCGTCATTGTTGTCCTCCTCCTCCACACCTCCTCCTCCTCTTCCTCCTCCTCTCCCCCCTCCCCCTTCTCCTCAACCTCCTACTCCTCCTTCTCTCCCCTCGCCTTCATCTCCCTCTTCCTTCAACTCCCTCTGCTCTGCAGTGCTCCCCCCTACTCACCATCACCTTCCAGGAATGAGATGGGTGAAATGGGGGTCCCCAGCCTCTGGGAGCACAAAGGCGACTGGGTGGCCAGGGGAGCTGGCACCAAGCTGGTGGGAAACAGTGGTTTTGCACACGTGGGTGAGGGACCAGGAGGGGCAGAAAGCTGTGGGTGCTTTCCCTGGTCGTGCCCTGTGAGGAAGGGCAACCCAGGGGGTTCCTCAGGACTCTGGTCTCAGTGGGTTTTAGGAGCTGTCGCTGCCCCATGGTGTGGTCCTTCCTGATGGAGGGGAAGAGGCAGGGCGACGGCATCCCCTGTGCAAGAGTCCTCCAGGAGCCAGACCTCCTTCTGTCTCTCTTTATCTTTCTCTAGCACTTTTGGGGGGTGGCCTCTCTTCTCTCACATGGCCGTAGGTTCACTGTCCCTAGGGGGCTGGGGTGCCGCAGTGTCCCACCAGTGTCAGTGGCTTCCCTCTGAGCTTGGAAGCTGCTGGGAGAAGCAAACAAGCTTCAGAATGAGGTGGCATCGTATTTTTCTGTCTCAAAGAGGAAGGGAAGGTGTGGGAAGCTTTAGAAACCTTCTGGCAGGGGAAGGAGCTATCGGAGGCAGCCCAGCCCACTCGCTTCTGCCCAACTGCAGCGAGGGAAAGGTCCCCTCTGGGATTTGGCTGAGAACAAGAAGTTGGTTTGAAATTGCCATTCATTTCTCGATGCCTTGAAGGGCTGCCTCCAGAGCACAAACCCTGGTGGGATGGGAGCTGCCACCCAGCTCCATCCCACCACCAAGCAGATGCCACAGGCACTGGCTCTGTGCTCGACCCCTGAGAGCCCCAATCTGGTACCTTCCACCAGCACTGAATTCACTTTAAAAAAAAAAATACCCCAAA